TTGGACATTTCCACTTAGGGGTGTACTCACTTTTGTTGCCAATGGTTAGAGCAGGGGTAGTCAACTGGTTCTGCAGAAAATGCCCAGTGGGCCTCGATGACTGTGGACCAAGGCTGGTAGGGAAGATCCTTTTCTCTCCACTGCCGGCCCATGCAGACCCAACCTTGTTGTAAGCCATCTTGAGCTGGTGAGGAAAGTGGGAAGAGGGAAGGACCAGCAGAGGGAAGGACCTGGGAGGCTATGTGTTCCTCCTGCGAGCAGGCTGGTCGGAGCAATGCCGCACGTTACCATGGCAACACTCCATTACAGTGCTGTGTTTGCAGGAGGACAGGAGAGTCAGCCTGCAGCTGGAAAAAATCCTGCAAGGATTGACTATACGCACAAGAACTACATTAAAGGACCACTATAGTGCCAGGAAAACATACTTGTTTTCCTGGCACTATAGTGCCCTGAGGGTGCCCCCACCCTCAGGGACCCCCTCCCGCCCGGCTCTGGAAAGGGGAAAGGGTTAAAAACTTACCTTTTTCCAGCGCTGGGCGGGGAGCTCTCTGCTTCCTCTCCTCCTCCGTTCCTCCTCCTGGGCTGAATGCGCACGCGCGGCAAGAGCTGCGCGCGCATTCAGCCCGTCGCATAGGAAAGCATTTACAATGCTTTCCTATGGACGCTGCGTGCTCTCACTGTGAAAATCACAGTGAGAAGCACGCAAGCGCCTCTAGTGGCTGTCAATGAGACAGCCACTAGAGGATTAGGGGGAAGGCTTAACCCATTAATAAACATAGCAGTTTCTCTGAAACTGCTATGTTTATAAAAAAATGGGTTAACCCTAGCTGGACCTGGCACCCAGACCACTTCATTAAGCTGAAGTGGTCTGGGTGCCTAGAGTGGTCCTTTAAGCTTGTTCTGTTGTCTATAGTGTCCCTTTAGTTTATAAATAAATTATTATTTTTTTCAGAGAGCACTACGAATCATTTGTTCTTTTATAGGTACTAAATCACTTGTTGGATTTAGCCCAACAGGAGCCAACATGTTTATATAAACTCCTATTGACAGTAAACGGTTATATACAGGATATTAAACCCTCCTATTATCCCAATGAGTGCTATAATATTCGGCACCAAGGTCTGCACGTACAACATCTCTATATTGCTGTAACTTTGTAGCATCATTCCATCTTGCAACAATACACCAAGCAGATTGCTACATTTATCACAATGTCTCAAGAGCCAGTCTATGTTTTAATACTTTGTGGACATTTTGGACAGACTGATTATATTATTTATAACTCATTGGACATTTTAATACATTTTTGAACTAGTGATATTCATACCGAGTGACAGTCACACTTCTGTGTTTATAATTATTTTATCATCTTTACGCACCTGTATTTATAATCATTTTGATATTTGACCTATTATATTGCACTCCATCGTATTGCTCCTAAATATATCACACTATCTTTATAGTTAGGTTAGATTTCTTTTTCTGAAGGGTATGGTGACCCCTTGGTCAGTTTGAGCAATATTTATTTACTAGTTTCCTACTTTCCCTGTTATTAACATTCACTTTCCTTTCCAGAGTAGGCGTTTAAGAGTAGGTAGGACATGGTACTCAGTAGTTATTGGCATTTATTAGGGGGCGGAGGAAATATTATTTTGACAATCTATTCACTAATGAGCATGCCAGCTCAAATGATAAAGAAAATACGGGAATCAATTAAGTCAGTCATTCTATAGAGGGCAAAACAATTATTTAGAATTTGGGAAAAGCAATGGAAGAAGTATACATATCGTGGGACATTGTCAGTCTAAAGTTTTATGTCTCTAATAATATAGTACAGAGGGGACTTAGAATGTGAAACGCATTTGGCTGCTTTTTTAATGTATTTTATTATCTATTATTAAAGGAATATTGGCCCCCAATACTGTGCTTGTGCCATTTTTATTTATTTTTTTATAATTTTATTTAACTCTTATCTGGCCATTATAATCTTTGGATTTTTCACTCACTCAAGAATACTAGGTGGGGATTATACCACCTACGCCAATATAGTGAGCAGTATATTCCTGCTCATGTATATGTGAGCATTATACCTTTTATATACCTATCTGTTATTGCCATATACAGAGAGCACTATTTTTTTTATTTCTCTCTATATACTTGTACCTACCAACACCTATATCCTACCAGTGGGGGATCAACGCCACTGAATGCTACACACTCCTGAGCTAGCCATAGCTCTGAAATAGGTGAGTAAGAAGAACTGATATTACCACCACTGCCATCTTCCCATTACAGTTTCACACTATTGGAATTTCTCTCTTCTATCTGCATGTTTCCACATCATCTGGATACCTGACTTCCTCGGATCCCACAAGGTCTATTGATTCTACTTATCTCTTCAATCAAACTTGGACTAGTATCTCTTACACTTTTTATCAGGACATTATTCCTTTTCTATTAATTTTTATATACAGTTGCAAGAAAAAGTATGTGATCCCTTTGGAATGATATGGATTTCTGCACAAATTGGTCATAAAATGTGATCTGATCATCATCTAAGTCACAACAATAGACAATCACAGTCTGCTTAAACTAACAACACACAAAGAATGAAATGTTGCCATGTTTTTATTGAACACACCATGTAAACATGCACAGTGCAGGTGGAAAAAGTATGTGAACCCTTGGATTTAAAAACTGGTTAAACCTCATTTGGTAGCAATAACTTCAACCAAACATTTCCTGTAGTTGCAGATCAGATGTGCACAATGGTCCGGAGTAATTCTTGACCATTCCTCTTTACAGAACTGTTTTAGTTCAGCAATATTCTTGGGATGTCTAGTGTGAATCGCTTTCTTGAGGTCATGCCACAGCATCTCAATCGGGCTGAGGTCAGGACTCTGACTGGGCCACTTCAGAAGGCGTATTTTCTTCTGTTTAAGCCATTCTGTTGTTGATTTACTTCTATGCTTTGGGTCATTGTCCTGTTGCAACACCCATCTTCTGTTGATCTTCAGCTGGTAGACAGATGGCCTTAAATGCTCCTGCAAAATGTCTTGATAAACTTGGGAATTTATTTTTCCTTCGATGATAGCAATCCGTTCAGGCCCTGACGCAGCAAAGCAGCCCCAAACCATGATGTCCCCACCACCATACTTCACAGTTGGGATGAGGTTTTGATGTTGGTGTGCTGTGCCTTTTTTTCGCCACACATAGTGTTGTGTGTTTCTTCCAAACAACTCAACTTTGGTTTAATCTGTCCACAGAATATTTTGCCAGTACTGCGGTGAGACATCCAGGTGCTCTTGTGCAAACTGTAAACGTGCAGCAATGTTTTGTTTGGACAACAGTGGCTTCCTCTGTGGTATCCTCCCATGAAATCCATTCTTGTTTAGTGTTTTACGTATTGTAGATTCGCTAACAGGGATGTTAGAATTTGCCAGTGACTTTTGTAAGTCTTTAGCTGACCCTCTAGGATTCTTCTTCACCTTATTGAGCAGTCTGCGCTGTGCTCTTGCAGTCATCTTTACAGGACGGCCACTCCTAGGGAGAGTAGCAGCAGTGCTGAACTTTCTCCATTTATAGACAATTTGTCTTACCGTGGACTGATGAACAGCAAGGCTTTTGGAGATACTTTTATAACCCTTTCCAGCTTTATGCAAGTCAACAATTCTTAATCGTAGGTCTTCTGAGAGCTCTTTTGTGTGAGGCATCATTCACATCAGGCAATGCTTCTTGTGAAAAGCAAACCCAGAACTGGTGTGTGTTTTTTATAGGGCAGGGCAGCTGTAACCAACACCTCTAATCTCATCTCATTGATTGGACTCCAGTTGGCTGACATCTCACTCCAATTAGCTCTTGGAGATGTCATTAGTCTAGTGGTTCACATACTGGTGAATGTTTACATGGTGTGTTCAATAAAAAACATCGCAACATTTCATTGTTTGTGTGTTATTAGTTTAAGCAGACTGTGATTGTCTATTGTTGTGACTTAGATGATGATCAGATCACATTTTATGACCAATTTGTGCAGAAAACCATATCATTCCAAAGGGTTCACATACTTTTTCTTGCAACTGTAAGTACACATTGTTTTTACTGTTTTATTACAGGTTTGGCGCGACCTATATTCTGGTTTGTACTATTGTATAAAAAGCTAGTCAGATATAATAAAAAATTTCTATACTTTAATATATAACAAACTAAGGGATCACTAAAGTGGAGATTGTAGAGACTAGGCAATGGAATAAGGAGTTGGAGAATTTTTCTTATTCTTTTAAATCTACAGGCTATTCTGCATGATTTGTGGTTTAGTGAATACATTCCCATTAGTTGCGTTGATTGTTATGCATTCTGCATTTTAGTTTTAAACATGTTTATTGTTGTGATTTGATGGGATATGACAAGCATTAAAGAACACTATAGTGTCAGGTTTACAAACACGTATTGCTGATGCTATAGTCATGAAGGCTGTTTAAGTTACCGTTCCCCTTCGATCTCAGTATAAATGTGATTTTACTCACCTTTTCTCACACTCTGCGCTGGTCTCGAAGTAGCTGCTCTCACCTGGCTTTGCCTCCATGTCTGAGAGAATCAACCTTGATGAGGATAGGAAAGCATTGGGAGGCTATTGCACATGCGCAGCAAAATGCAGCTCTGTACTGATCAGCACTTCCTCATAGAGATGCATTGAATAAATGCATCTTTTTGGGGAACAATTAGCATCTCCATGCAGAATGGAGACACTGAACGCCAGTTCTGCACACTGTGCAGCACTGGACTAAGGGGCACCTCTAGTGGCCATCTGAGTTACCCAGATAGCAATCCAGTGAGCTGCAAGTTTGAAAATGACTTGCTATGCTATTGCTTGACTTGCCAAGCTTCACAAGTTTGTGGCACATTTGCTTACAGTCTGCATTGCAAGTCTCCAGATCAACTTGCTTTGCAAATTTGCTGCAAGTCTGCTACAAGTTCTTCTTCAGGTTAAAAGGTTGGGTGCAATGTGTACATCCCACCACAGAGGTCAGTGTGAGGGGCTGACATTCCATCTCATTGCTGTGTGTAAGCTTTACTTTCTATGGTGCTGGCAGCCATTTTATAATCACTTTGGAGGCTGTGGAAGAGAGCTGAGTGGGAACTATGAGTTCTGATATAGAGTTCAGGGAGGATAGAAATCAAGGAGTAACTAAACATAATACTACATTGGTGTAGCACAGTTTGGAATATTTAAGTTTTCCTCATTTATGTGCCTAGATTTTGCTTAACAGGGGCTTAAAGCAACATGCAATCCTTCTGAGAAAACTGTCTCATTCAGTAGCTCTATAACTAAATTGGCTGCAAAGCAGTCACCTTTACTTTCATAAATAAAATGTTTGTTTTAAAACTTTCACTCTTTTTAACTTTATGTGTACACCTAACAAACCCTTGGTATCTAAATATTTCACATTTAATGACATTATTAACTGGAATAGCTCACTAAAACAAATCACGTTTTAATAAAAATATTTACCTTAAAGCATTAACCCCTTAAGGACTGAGCAAAATGTACACGTTTTGATCAAAATAAAACGTAAACAAAACCTGGCATTTGACTATATGTCTGTCCAGCTGTAATTCACCTCTTTCATATTAAGTGCACCCACACATATTGTATATAATTTTATTCAGAGGAAACAGGGTTGTCCTTTAACATCAAATATTTAGCTATAAAACATAATTTAATATGAACAAAATGCAAAAAAATGTGAGAAATTAAGACATTTTGTTATTTTTTATTAGTTCTGCATGACATTTTAACAGTGAATGTCATAATACTGTTTGCTTTTACTGCAATAAAATACACATATTTGTAGTCAGCGATGTCTCACGTGTAAAACTGTACCCCCATGTGTAGATTTTATGGTGTTTTGGGAAATTCCCTACATTGGCTTCCTATAAAATATAGAGCTCAATTTAAAATTCTGGTTCTTGCTTTCAAATCGCTAAATAATGCTGCTCCCACCAATCTAACCTCCCTTATATACAAGTATGTCCCGTCTAGGCCCTTACGATCTGCGGAAGACTTACGTCTATCTTCTGTCCGTACTCCCACCTCTGATGCTCGCCTTCAAGATTTCTCGAGGGCTGCACCGTTCCTGTGGAACTCACTTCCCTCCTCCGTTAGATGCTCACCCAGTCTCCACTCCTTCAAAAAAACTATTTCTTCATAAAAGCGTATCAATTAAACTGTTAATAGCTCCTGACTGATTCCTCTTCTGCAACTGTCACTAGTCTAATACTATCCTTACCTTTTTGTGTCATTTTACCCCACTCCCTCTAGCATGTAAGCTCATTGAGCAGAGCCCTCAACCCCTCTGTTCCTGTGTGTCCAACTTGTCTGGTTACAACTACATGTCTGTTCGTCCACCCATTTTAAAGCGCTGCGGAATTTGACGGCGCTATATAAATATCATAATAATAATAATAATAACGGTCAAATGGAGAGTGCTCAATAATTACAACAGGGCATATAAAGTTGCTCTCGGTAATATGTCTGAATCTTACTGATTCCGCTCTTTTTTCTTTCTAGCTCCATCAAGAGAGGATAGAAAATGGGCAGCTGTTCTGCAGTGGATGGCAGACATATCTGGAAGACTTGAAAAAATAGAGGAAAAATTGGAAGCCATAGCTCAAATACATGTACCAGTAGCAGAAGAAGATGACACATCCATTTTTAGTCTTCTGGCCCTGAAGTCTTTGGACGACTTTGAAAAATTGGAAGATGCTTTGAAAACAAGCAAATCTCTGAAAAATAAACTGGTAAGCTCTTAAATTGAGGTGTATCCCTTTAGTTTGGCTACAGTTAGACTCAATGTGCCTCTTTAACACAGTAATTGGTCCAATTGGGGATTCATTTATAGTGCAAAAGATGTAATAACAATACAATCTTCTTTACACAATGATATGGTGTTGTGCCTTTGCAAAATATCTCTTTAATTACAGACATGTTTTTTCCTTGTTGTCTAAGCTTGTAAAGTACTCGATCTTTAACATTTTATTTTAGTAATTCTTATTTTGAATGCAACATCTGGAAATGTATACTTACCAATTGGAACGGAAAATGAGAGAGAGAGAGAGAGAGAGAGAGAGAGAGAGAGAGAGAGAGAGAGAGAGAGAGAGAGAGAGAGAGAGAGAGAGAGAGAGAGAGAGAGAGAGAGAGAGAGAGAGAGAGAGAGAGAGAGAGAGAGAGAGAGAGAGAGAGAGAGAGAGAGAGAGAGAGAGAGAGAGAGAGAGAGAGAGAGAGAGAGAGAGAGAGAGAGAGAGAGTGTGTGTGTGTGTGTGTTTTTTTTTTATATAAATTTTCTTATTTTGTAGATAAGAGTCCTCAAGAGCGTTGGAGGGAAGAATGAGCATTTACTTTTATGCAATATGATGCGACGATTAATGGAGGATAATGTTGCTGAAGTCTATAATCTTTCCGGAACCTCGAGTAAACATGCTGAAAGAAGGGCCTTTGCTGGTACCCAGATATACAATTCAGTTCTTGGTGAGTCAAACTTTATGTGTTTATAATCTTCAACAGTTACATGGTTTTTAGGTAAAGTGAAATTTATTATTTATTGGAATACGTCAATGATGTGTACATGAATTTAAGTGAGCAGTTATCTTAGTGCAACATTACGTTGAAGTGTTTTCAGATTCTTAATAGTTGATTTTTTTTAGTATTAAAGATACAGTATATACTCGAGTATAAGTCTAGTTTTTCAGCACATTTTTTGTGCTTAAAAACCCCCACTCGACTTATACTCGAGTCACTGTCTGTATTATGGCAACTTAGAGAGCCGCGGCCGTCAGAGCCATGGCAACGATCCGCGCGGCAACCAGACCGCGAGACTTACAGTGGAGCTGACTGTAACGGAGGAGAAGGGAGCTGACAGGAGCTGCAGGAAAGGTAAGTAAATGCTTCCTGCCGGCCCCCCCACTTCACAGCCCATGCCATTGGACCACCAGGGATTAAGATAGCCCTCCTCCCTGACCAGTTAACAAGCAGGGAGGGGGGACAAAATAAAATTAAAATAATAAAAAATAATAATATTAAAATAAAAAAAATTTAAATAAAAATGCCCCCCCCCACCCAGTTCACACACACTACAAAAACACACACTCTGCATTATATACACAGAGTGTGTGTTTGTATGAGTGTGTGTGTGTATTTGTATATAATGCAGAGTGTGTGTTTGTATGAGTGTATGTGTATATAATTATAAAAATCACAGAATTTCATAGCCCCAAGTTTTACCCTCGACTTATCCACGAGGCATAGCATATTTCACAATTGTTGGTCACAAAACTGCACTCGACTTATACATGAGATCGACTTATACACGAGTATATACGGTAGATAATTTTCAGAATGCAAAAGACCTATGAAATACAGTTCTTATTTGTTGACATTTGGAATATTGGTATTTAATATTAAATTGAATATATTTCTAAAGTGAGAGGTTATCTCTAAAGGCACGTTATTTCATTACATATGGATATATGTCTGTTTTTCATATACTTGATTATTTAATGTTTTTTTGCACTTGCAGAAGCATGTCGAACAGTTTTTAAAGATGCTACAGACTACGATATGAGAAAATATATTGGCGATTGGCTTAACCAAGCCCACACACGAATTGTTCGTAGTTGCAGGTAGGTAGTCTTTTTTTTTTTTTTAAATTGAGCCTACCGAGCCACCTCTTTTCAATTTACTTTAACTTGTTTGTATAGCCTTATTGATAAGGCACCTAGTTGTAAATACCGCTAGTGCGTAAATTATTTCTTTATAATGCACCCTACAGATTCCAATTAGAATCATTAACTTGGATTTTGCTAAAGAAATGGGTGCACATGAAAAACATAATGCACCTGAGACGGTTGGGTCCTGGCGGCTCTGCACCAGCGTGGCACAGTTCAGAACTTCAACCACCAGTGGGATTCTATGTCTCTCAGCCTATACCTCTCTGCTATGAGAGCGGCTCTTTTCTGCAGATGCACAATATTTCCGTAATGATGTGGCTGGGAATTAAGGTGTGCTAAGAGGCATTATTAAACAGTAATGCAAGAAATATAGGCTCCTATTCTAAGTTGGTAACTAATATTTCCAGGTGATAGTGGCTCCAGTGGCAAATAATGGCTGCTTGCTATTACTTTGTATAAGACTCAGAAATGTAGTGGTAGCTGCAGAATAATGAGTGATTCTGAGTTGCTCATTATTTTCTAAGAAGTCAAGAAAATAGCAAATACTGACTCCCAATCACAAAATGTCCAACTCAACTTAGATGTCAGAGTGGAGAATGAACCAAGCTTAGCTGAGTTTTAAGCACCCATATTGGATATTATCCCCTCTTACCTTGTTTAAGACTGCCAATGTCCTAATCCGTTACCAGCAGAAGCTGAGAGTTAATATATCTATTGTTTAAAATACTCTATTTCCAGTATTTAACACTGAAGTTGAACTGCTGTTAGCTAGTACTGTTTATCTCTAGAAATTATATTTCGATGCTATGTAATAATTGTTGTTGTTTTTATTTTCTCAGGTCAGCTCCAGATCCAAGTCCATAAAACAGATGCAGATTATATATTTTGTTTGTCTTGAAAAATTTAATTATTCTTTGACTGTTATCGTTATGGTTATATGTTTAGTAATGTTTTGGTAAATGTTCTTTTTCATGTTTGGCAAATGTTCAACCTAATAAAAATGTAACTGTTTGTAAGATGTAATGCTTTGTTATATATTGATTTTATTAAAATATTTTAATGAATATTTTTATGTTTATCATTTTTTCCCTAATGCACTATTGAGGTTTGCAGTTTTTTCACATTTGATTTGATTTGATTGTATTTGATTTTCAGATTTACATACAATGTGCACAATTGCATACAATATATTTTATTCCTGTGCTGTAACTAATAAATAGATGGATAATTAAGACATTATTAATTTAATGTTGTTAAAGATATAAAACAGTCAGTTTAAAATAAATATATTACCAGAGATAATACATAAGTATATAACAATACCTAAGGTAAATAACTGTACTATTATACCTGGGATATTAGTTTAATAAACTTAAATAATAGTCAAGTAATAATCAGGTAATGTATGCAATTAAAACTTTTAAAAATATGACATTCACAAAAGTTAACTTACCGGCTTAAAGTAAATTTGTAGATACAATTTATATAAGGTTGCTAGTCATTAAAAAGTGAATTGGAAAATTCTAGGCTGAAATAACTGAACTAGAAATATTTGAATGGGAATGGTTTTTAGGTTCAGCCATATATTTGGTAAGATTTTTAAATTCTCCTTGCCTATTCACTTTTTAGTGAATAGACCCTATAAAAACTTGCAGGGCTCTTGCTGTAGACTTGCCACAGCAATTTTTTTCTTGCTAGAGACTTGCAGGGCTCTTGCTGTAGACTTGCCACAGCAATTTTTTTCTTGCTAGAGACTTGCAGGGCTCTTGCGGTAGACTTGCCACTGCAATTTTTTTCTTGCTAGAGACTTGCAGGGCTCTTGCTGTAGACTTGCCACAGCAATTTTTTTCTTGCTAGAGACTTGCAGGGCTCTTGCTGTAGACTTGCCACTGCAATTTTGCTCTTCCTAGAGACTTGCCAAGCAAATGTGCTACAAATTTAAAAAGTGTCAACTAGAACTTGAGCTGCAAGAGCTCTGCTAGTGAATCACTTGCCAGTGAAAATGTGCAGCAAGTTAAACAGACTTACAGTTTAAGTCTTCCACACATTTGTGGCAAGTTATCCTTGCTATCTGGGCACTGCCACTAGAGGTGTTTCTGGGTACCAAAGTAAACGTTTATGTTGGAAAGCTTGCAGAGATAGGCTATAGACACCATAACCACTGCAATAAGTCACATGTATAACAGTTTAAACCAACAAGATGAGATAACCACTTGTATATCTTCTATAATATTTCTTATTTTTTTAAATTTTATTTTAAAGAAAGGAGTTGCACAACACAAAATAAATTGAAAGAAAACAAAACAAAACGCTCTCTTTCACGCACCTTCTCAAAACAGGGTATTCCACTTAACAACAGTTAGAATGTGCTGCACAAACCTCCCTCCTTGTCTGGTGGAACTATAACACCCAGCAAGGACATGCACATGTGCTACACTGGACATTTAACTGTCTGCAGCAAGTGTTAGATGGAGTAAAACCCCCACTATGTTCAGCCAGCAGCTGGTGTAGAATTGTATGGTCTGGACTCTATTGTCTCCCAGCCCAGAGGTAAATCCGCTGCTGACTCTGCAACTCAATCCTGCCTAAAAGCTGTCGTTCTACAAAATAACTGTTTTCAGCTCATATCTGTGGCTTATTAGTTTGGTTAGATTCCTGTGTGGAACCCCCGGAGCAGATGTTTCCTGTTAGGTTTCTAGCAATGCCTGCATGGAATGCTACCCATATCAGAGCAGCATTATGCCAACGGAGCCATATTGTTCCTTTGCTTAGTTTCAGACGTAACCATTGAGATGAGATGTATTGGAATGTATTACCCTGTGTGTCACACTGTATTTCAGCCTTTTCTTTCTGCATCCAATCTGGCAATATGTTTTACACTTGGAGAGCCATTGTAAATTCTTTACAGGTTTTACACTAAAAAAGCCATTGTAAATTTTATGATTTTTAACTTGACCTTCCATGTTTCAAACTGCCAGCGATTCAGAGTAGCTGAACATTAGTCTCCAGGGGATTTTCACTGCGCTGCTAGATACAGTTTCCAAGAACTGCAGAGGCATTAACATGGCAGGAGGAACAGACTCTGCTCGTAGAGATATACGTCCAGATTCGCAGCTTAAACAGGATTAATGGCTCTACTCTATGTATATACAGGGTTTGTTTTATTAAATACTATTTTTTTTTTACTATGCTATGGAGTTTGTATTTATTAAAATCAGCGTTGGATTTGTTGCTGGCATTTAAGTGCAGGAAAATAGAGGAATTTCATTATATATTTACACGTGCGTGCATGCGTGTATATTTTATTTATATATATATATATATACATGCAAAATACAGAATCCAGCGCACTAAACAATGATTTCAAATCTTAGAGATTGTAATAGTTTTATTTAAAAACACCTCACCTAGGCAAAAAAATAAGGAGGGTTTAGTTACATTAGCCTGCCACAACGTCAATGTACACCATTCTTGGCAGGTCTTACTCTAGCAGCCTAATGCTTGCTCTTATGAGATCAATCCACTTACTTGGGAAATACTTCCTTACTGGGACTCTCTGCAAGTCAAGGCTAAATAGGGTCCTGGAATGAGGCACCTGTGACAGGGAGGGCTGCAATATATATATATAGTTGAGAGATAAAACAAGTTTAGTGACTATATGGTAAATTACTGGTTGGAGCCATTGAATTGGGTAACTCCAGTCAGACCACTTACCTCACCAGGGCAAGGCACCTAATGATACAGATCCAACCTACATCCTCATAGATTGCAACTCATTTGAGCAGGTCCTTTAAATATTTCCATTGTATATTTGTAAAGTGCTGTGGAATGTGTAAAATGTTCATTAATTATAAACCTCCACACAACTGGATTCGAAAAGTTGGGATGCATGGGTGGACTCCAGAAGGGGTGTCATCAGGTAATGTGAGCTGCATCACTAGCGACATCCACAATGTGAGGGCCTGACCAGAAAATAGTAGGTCCTGTCAAAAAAGGGGGCAGGCTCTCCACCTGAAAGCAGCCCGGACAGCCCCCAGCCATCAGAACCATAAAGCGAGCACTGCTGAACTACTGTACATTTATAGTGCCCTAATGATGTGCTTGCACTGTGCTCCTCTTGGACACTTCCCTGGTGTTCGCAGATGTGGGATGGCAGGACAGCACCACAAAATCAGGACTGTCCTGACAAAAGCGGAACAGTTGGGAAGCATGCATTTATACCAATTCAAACATAAATAACCTTATAGTTACTTATGTATGAATAGGTATAAATACGTATGTTATAGAACTTTTCTCTTTAGTATTTCGCATACACCGTTTACGGTTTAGTTACAGGAATTTTGCAACTTAGCTAGGCATACCCCAATAAAAGCATGCATGCATCTATTTCTGCATACATTTTCATGGGGGTATATTTAACCACTTAAAGACAGAGGCAATTGTACAAGTTTTGAACCTACACGAAATGTGGAATGTAAGCAATAATGTCTGTTCAACCATAATTTACTTTTTATATATCATTTTGTTCAGGAGAAATAGGGCTTTAATTTCACATTAAATATTTATATATGGAACATATTTTAAAATGTAAAAACGTAATGTTATTTTCCAAATCCTGTGAATGTCATAATACTGTTAGTTTAATGCAATAAAATAAACATATTTGTATTTAACGATGTCTCACAGGTACAACAGTACCCCCCATGTACAGGTTTTATGGGATTTTGGAAAGTTACAGGGTTAAATATAGAGCTTGCAGATTTCATTCTCTGGAGTCTCTGCCTGGTTTGTTATGTAGTGCCCCAATATCGAATTAATAAAATCCCATAATTATGTAAAAATACAAAAACATACACGTAAAATTATATTGTGTGTATATATATATATATATTTATTATCAAAATACACTTTCAGTCTGTGTCTCTATGTAGCTAACAGAAGAGGAAGAACACCTCCCTCAAGGACAGCCAGGAGATGTTTCTGCCCCCAAATATTAAGTACCAATTCTATAGAATTTAGGTTAACCCCTCCAGGACGGAGTCAATAGTGCATGTTCTGATCAAAACAAAACGTAAACAAAAACAGGAATTTGCGCTATATGTCTGTTCACCCGTAATTCACCGCTGTCACATTAAGTGCACCCACACTTATTATATATCATTTTGTTCAGGAGAAACAGGGCTTTAATTTATCATTAACTATTCATATATGGAACATAATTTATTAGGAATAAAATTTTAAAAAATGTGAGAAAATAAGATTTTTTTTTTAATTTGTATTTCCGTCTGACATTTTAGCTGTGAATGTCATTATACTGTAAGGTTTTACTGCAAAAAAATGCACATATTTGTAATCAGCGATGTCTCACGAGTACAACAGTACCCCCCATTAACAGATTTTATGGTGTTTTGGAAAGTTACAGGGTCAACTATAGAACATTCCATTTTCAAATTTAAATTTGCCAGATTAGTAATGTTACCTTTGAGACGGTGTGGTAGCCCAGGAATGAGAATTACCCCCATAATGGCATACCATTTGAAAAAGTAGACAACCCAATGTATTGAAAGTGGGGTATGTTTAGTCTTTTTTAGTAGCCACTTAGTCACAAACACTGGCCAAAGTTAGCGTTCATATTTGTTTTTGTGTGAAAAAAGCAAAAACTAATATTTGGCCAGTGTTTGTGACTAAGTGGCTACTAAGAAAGACTGGACATACCCCACTTGCAATACCTTGGGTTGTCTACTTTTGCAAATGGTATGCCATCATGGGGGTAATTCTCATTCCTGGGCTACCATACGCTCTCAAAGGCAACATAACCAATCTGGCAAATTTCAATGTCAAAAAAATGAAATGCAAGCCTTATA